AAATAAGAAAAAGAAATTTTTATTACCAACTAAAAAATTGAGAAAAAAAATTATTAATCGAAATATGAAATTTATATAAATGATTAGAATAATAAAGCTATTTAAATTAATTATTATAATTAGAAAGACTAAATAATTATGCTTAAGAAATATAAGATAGATAATAAATTTTAAATTAATTGAATTGGTTAGAATAATATGAATAATTAATATTAATTTAAATTAATTTTTATTTTTATCGAAATAATTAATTTAAATTATTATATTAATAAAATATTTCGGTTTATTAAATTGAGGTAGCTACTCAAGTTAATAAATAAAAATAATTTGGATATATTTTTTATTTTGCCACGGATACGATTTGTACGATATATCTTCTATTGTCGTAATGAATTGGCGGATTATTTTGATCTTTTTAGATATCGATTATTTTAATTTGAATATGATTTTAAGCTTCTGACTAGATGATTTATTTTTCAAATTTCACTTTTGATGAGTTTTATCATTTTATTTACGTTATTTTATATGATTTTTTGGGATATTTTGCCTATTTTGAGCAGATGAATAAATTGGATTACTTAGATGAATTTGCCAAAATTGGAAAATATTCTATTTATTGTCTGAAATTATATTTCCTTATTGCCTAGCTTATTTTGATTAGTTAAATGATATTCATTATTTTCAATATATCATCTATTCTAATTAGTTTGATTCTTTCATTTAATTTAGCGCCTTTAGATAATTTTGATATTTTGACGAATATTAAATAAATTTTCTATATATACTTTTTCTTATTTTGATAAATTTCAATTGCTTTTTTAATATAATCTATATATATATCTCTATTTTATCTTTATTAATTATTTTTTTCATTTTAAAAATATCATTTTAGATAAATTAGAGTTTTATATTTTCGATTGCTTTAGATATTCGACTTAATCAAACGAATTTAAGTGCTACAATTATTATTTTATTTATTTAGTTTATAAATCAGGTTTCGATTATAATATATTTATTTCAATAGATTAATATATTGCCATTTTGGTTCAAGCTTTGTGGCTCGAGCCGTTCTGGATGCGAGGCTCATATCTGAGCATACCTTTGTACAGCCTGTGCAAGTTAAGCGTGGCGACATGGCATCTCATCAGCAGAAGCTCATTTCTTGCTTGGGATATGGTCTACGAACTACTCGCAAATTGGGTCATTCAACAGCTTGCCAGTATTTATATTTGGCCTTGGCGCTGGTGATAGGCACTGCTGGACAGAGTCTTCGTCTCTATAAGACGATTGCTTTAAGTGAAGCAATACTTGAGGCAAGAATTCAGATTGCCAGTGTTCACTGCCAAACAGAGGATGAAATCTTGACGCGACCTATATTCGAGCATATTATGGCAAGTCTGGAAAAGACAGCCATATAGAAGATCGAAACACAAATGGCCGAATAGGTGACCATAATTGAATCGTTGCGGGATCAAGCTCAAGCTCGGCAACAGGATGAGCGTGTCAGCATGGCACTTTCGAGCGGAAGTGGGGTGCCACGGCATCTAGGTCACAATATTGCACTGGAGCCAATGACGGACGCGACATACCAACCAGTTCATGAACTTTGCAACGGTTCTAGTCTTTGCAATTTAAAAGGACTACGAGAAAATCACGAGAAAGAGAGACGGGAACTCAAAGAACGAAGACGAACAATACGTCTAAGTCAATTCGGAAGGATACCGACTGTCCAGTCAGGCTAATTAGGTTTTTCTTCGCTGTAGTTTCACGAATGCTGCTCTCAGCCAAGCCTAACGCTTCGAGTGCCTGAAAGAGAGAGAAATCTAATCTTTTCAATATTTAGCAGAAAAATCTTCTTTAAATAATTTTTCAATAAAAATTAAATTGTAAAATTTATATATTCTAAATATTAGAATAAATAGTGAAATTCTTAAATTCGTAATTTGTTTATAATATAAAATTCTCTTTATCGAATTTATTTATTTCAATCAATATTATTTTCTTTTTCTTAAAATATATTTTTTTAATTTATATATTTTTTTATTATTCGATAAATATTTTTTGTTAAATAACTATTTTGGATATCTTAATTCTTATTAATATTCTATAGAAATTCATAATCATTTACAAATTAGATTTATTTTTTTTTCAAATTCTCTTCTCTTTCTTTCTTTTCTTTTACTTTCTCTATTTTATTTATAAATTCAAATTTCGATCCAAAAAATAAAATATGAAATATATATATATATATTTATTTATCATCATATATATTCTTAATATTAAAGAATAGTCGAAAATATAAATCTTTTTTCGAATATCCTTTTACCTCTTATCTCGCTTTCTTATTTTTTATTCAATTTTTTTATATCACTAATTATATTTCTTTATTCATCAAATATTAATCAGAAAAAACAAATAAGAAATTTTTTAATTTCTTATCGATAATTCGATCTTATCAACAATTATTTTCAATAATAAATTTCCACCTATCGTTCCATAATAAAAGTCTCAAAATTCGAGAGAAATAAAATTAAAAGAGAATAAGAAATTATCTATAATTCTCTCATATTTTCATTGTTGGCTATATAATCCACGAATTCGAATATAATTACACTTTCTAAGACGACACAGACTACCGAATATCGATGGCAAATGAAATCCAAGCTCTATAGAATTATCCCAACGATTACCATACGAGCAGTGAATTTCCGTCACTACTAGGAGAATAGTAGCAAAATTACAGCATTCGCGGCCTCCGGAAAAGCCCCTACTAGCAGTGGGTTGCTCACGCTTGCCATACGAGCAATGAATTTCCGTCCCTAGTGGGGGGAGTAGTAGGAAAATTACAGCATTCGCCGGGAACGGAGCGTTTTCATAGCTAATCTCTTGCGAGCGGCGGGTTTCGGACGCTTCCAGAACGATGCATTTTCATGATTACTCTCCTATTAGCAGCGTCTTCAGACACTTTACGGACGTTTGTGGACGCGGGTAATATGGGCATTAATCGTAAAAGCACAGCATTCGCCGCCTTCGGAACGGTGCGTTTTCATGGCTAATCCCCCACTAGCGACTAGCTTCGGACGCTTCAATGCGAGCAGCGAATTTCCACTACCTAGGAGATTAGTAACACAAACACAGCTGTATTCGCCGCCTCCGGAACCATGCGTTTTCATGGCTTATTATGAGTGGCGGGTCTCGGATGCTTTCAGACACAGGGCAATAAGAGCAACGAATTACCGCCGCTAGTAGGTGACTAATAGCACAAATACAACATTCGCCGCCTCCGGAACGATGCATTTTCTTGGCTAGTCCCTTACTAGCGGCGGCTTCGGACGCTTTGCGGACACTTTACGGGCGCTTTGGAGACGCTTTGCGGACACTATCTAATGCGGAATGGTCTATCCATCGCCTCTTATCATTATCGTTTTCGTATACCGTAGCCTCCATCAAATATAATCGTATCATCTAATCTCGTATCGCCATTCATCATCGAATCATCTATCGAGTATATCAGTCACTATCGGAGCATCGCATCATTTAGCGTCATATCATTCATTATAGTGACATTTTTCGTTCTTCGCGCATTCTAATGTCATAATATCTATCAGCTATCGTATTGACGTCTATTGTTCTCTTCATTTATCGTCATCTCATCCATCAGAAAGACATTTTTGTCCTAAAGATAGTTTTCGTTGTTCATCTTCTATACCTGAAAGAGCTTGAAGGCTATCTAGTGAATTAGCATCTAATGCCTAACGTAATTATTTATTATCTAGAATAACGACCATCATCCAGCATAATATTAAAGTGTTATCTAGAATCATAGTTCTCCAATTGTACATACAATATCAAAGGCTAAGCAGGCTAAGCAAACATCTTCTGAAAGACTGGATTGAATGTTGAGCAATTCGTCTCAAAGATATGTACTAACACAAATAACACAAACATGTAATCAAGGAATGTTACATTCGGGGTGGGGTTGGGGGCTTTTCTCATCTGAAATAGAACTCCCAGGTACAATCTCGAGGAATGCCGCCCAATGCCTCGCCATTGTGGTCCCAATGTGAATCCTCTTCTGTACTCTGTTCGAGGCCGACGTGCAACATGCGCTTGAGATGCCACGACAACTTGGGGTCATCAGGAACAAGTGGCTTCAAAGCTTGACAGCATCTGCGATCAAGTTGCCTTTGGACTACGGACATGCTGCAGTCAGCCGGAAACTTGCAAGCACTTCCCACCGCAATCCAACTCTAGCGGTGCCTCTTCTGCGGCCGCAGTACGTGGATCGGCTTGGCGGAAACCTGTAGGACAAAGAGTGTTAGGTCGCGTCGGTTCTGCAGAATGCTGTTTATAGAAGTGTTCTTGGAGCCACTTCTGAGGCTTGAGCCTTCGGCCTTGCGGTTTCGGGCTGGGACCTAACACCATTTTGGCATATTTGAGGCCCAACAGGCTTGGTTGGAAATCCTTGAATCCGTCGAAATTGTATGAATCGGTCGTGCTTCCAGTGGCAGCTTCCACAGTACAGCTTAAGGGCCTGAATAATTAGAATAGGGCTGTGGGTGTGTACTGTAGTATGACTCTAACAGGGGTTACAAGGGAATCATATTGCGAGACGATGTAATCATAGTGGAAGAACAGAGGGTAATATTAACTATCAACGGATCCCTGTTACACTGGAGGGGCACAATGGTAGAGTCGCAGCATGTTTTGAAAACCACAGAGTGCATGCAGCGATTCCATCACCCGTTTTCGGAAAACGCCGAGAGGGAATCCGCTTTTTCAAGCCTTAGAGGCCCGAAGAGGTGCAAAAAAGGGATTCTCTCGCCTGTTTCCGGAAAACACCCTGACATACAGCATCATTACTCCTAGCAGCGTTACTCGTACTTACATCCGGAAGTAGTACGCAAGCTTTCCGTTATTAGTACACTTGGATCTGTCATTAGTCTGGAGACAAGGGAACGAGCATTTGTCAACTCAAACAACGGGTAAAGTCGGAAATGCTGGATTGCATTCTGGGCCGCCAGGATGTGACCCGGAATTCAAAGGCCTGAACCTGAATGTAAGAGGCCGACAGGCCCCACCTACCAACGATAGAAATGCCAGTGAAGGCCTTGCGGATCCTCTACACATTGAAAAGTTACAACTACTCTATACTTTGACACCGATGAAGTGTTGGATATCTGAGTTAAGAGAATCGGCTGCCCCATGCCAGGTACTTCCGAGGTCAGCGCGCTCCCATGCGGCGATCGCGGACTGCTGATCTCCAGTCATGCTCAGCAGGACCTGAGATGCCCGACTTCCGAAGTTTCACTAGTCTTGCGCACTCGACAGCCATGATGCAAACCTTATACGCCGTGCAGACTCCAGAGAGTTCATCGGGTCAGACAAGGGCCACGGCTCCAATGCATCAGGGCAGTGGCACATGTGAAGCATTGCAAGTTGCGTTGAACTCGGCCTCGTCTGCCTGTTGTTACCCTGCCATCGCTGCAAAGAGCGAAAACATGTAGCGATTACCAACAAGTTTCCTCGAATCGGTCCGGTTCGGATCCGTTCCACTCTCGCGGGTAATGTTTAGGAGACAGTGGCAGTGCTGCCGGCAAAGTTTCCTCCAACTTCCACCGTTTGCCGCCCAACATCATCAGGAATTATCAGGCTCTTTGCAGCCTTGTTTAGAGTTTGGAGGCAATCCCCACTCATCGGCTCTCACCGTAACCGAGACGGCACCAGGGTCCTCACGGCAGCATTGCGCCAATACCTGGTTGTGATGTGCAGAGGCTTCAGCACGTGTCTATCTTGATCTAATTGCCGGTAGCCTCGGGCTCAGCGTACTTAAGTTCGATGCTGAAGAACACACTCTGAACCTTGTCTCCAAGGCACAGCGGTGTGTGAGGTGCCAGCGAGATTGCTTGCTCTGCAGCCTGGCAAAATGGATCTGCACGGAGTAAACAACTCGAGCACCACGCAAAACCAGGGTTTGCAGTGCCACCAGTAAAGCTATTCCTGGGTTGAGGCATGCCTTGTCTGAACATCCACAGGCTGCCAGCATGCACTTTCGAGTTTCGGAGGCTCTGTGTGTCTGTGTATCTGTATGAGTTGACATTTTCTTTGTCCTGTGATGGGTGATAGCAGTGGTGTTAGTATGAGCATTAGAAATAGTATTAGTACTGGTCGTAGTGGCAGTGGTAGTGGTGCCCGAATCCTTCACCACAGGCCTGAAGACCCTGCTGCACCAATTGGACGTTCATCGGCTGGTTGGAAAGACCGAGGAGGACCAAGGCACAAGCCAAATTGTTGTACCTGGGGCTTCTCAGACGATACTTGGACCAAAAGTCACTGTGTACACTGTGCGGTGAGTAGTTTTTTGCTCTTCCTGATTTCAGTATAGCTGCTCCAAAACCTTCATATCTCCAGCTGAAGTTGTCGCCTGAAAGTCTCGTTCGAAACGATCACCATCTCGCCTTCCTCATGGCATGCTCAGGCCATGACCCCTTGGGAAAGCTCGGATTTGTGATGACGGCCTCGGCAGTGGGCAGGCAATTCGGAAGGTCGCCCCAGCTTGCGAGTAGATAATAGTAACTTTCGGGCTTTGATCCCCCCAGGCCCTAATCCTGCAAGCTCAGAACCCTCTCGCTCGGGGCATGCAGCTTGGAGCTTAAACCGCAGGCCAGTACTATCCGCGCTACCAAAGCCCACTGCTGATCACACCGAATTTCTGAGTCTCAAGAGGAACGCGTGCAAGATGCTGTGAGCCCGAGAGCTTGCAAGCCCTCGCCAGACAGCCTTCGGTTATGGTGGGGGCCGGGAGACTCTAGGCCACAGGCATTCTGGAAGTTGTGCGCAGCCTCCAAGGCTTTGGAGCTTTCGGGCCGGGTCGGCTTGCAATCGACAGGTCCCAGAGTCTGCATCTCTTTTCCTCTGGGAACGAGGATGGCAAAGTCTGGCGGAGCTCTCAGATGCGTCGCGTCTTTTTCTCTCTGCCTGTGTCTGTCTGTCTTTCCTCTCTGTCTACGAACCACGGAGCCCAAACTACTGGGCGTTCAGTGTTATTTGGATCCTGCGGACAAGCCGCTGCGTGCTATGGACGTCGGGTAACTAGCTTTTGTGGTGTATGGTGCCGTGTTTGTGAAAGTATATGCAGCAGCAAGGTGGCATGTCCGATGCAATGTCGCCCCAAAAGTCAGTAACGGAGTTCTCGGCCCAACATTTACTCTTGCTGCTTCCAGTTGCTGAATTGTGTCCGTTCTGGTCGGCCCCAAAGCACCTTGCCTTTCCAGCTTGCTAGCTTCCACAGGAAGCCGCCCACCCGCGTTGTCTGGGGCTCTGTGGAAATCATGAGAAGGAAGCACAGGTCACAGGGGATTCAGTCGGATTCAGTGTGTTCTCTCTCTGACTCTGTCGCATCTCGCAACCACTTACACCTCTCGAAGGAGTCATGGCACAAAGTTGCTCCGTCACTGGCTGACGCTAGGGGCCCTCGCCTCCATGTGCCTGCCCACGTGCCACAGAACGAGGCCGTAGTCGTGCCAAACTTCTTCCTGCATCTCTAGCGTGGCTACCAAAGCCCGGATCCTCAAGCCCAACAACGAGACCTTGTCAAGCAGGCTGGGGTGCAGCATCAGAGCAGAGTGTGCCCTGTCAAGAATGGCTATGGGCTGACCAAGCCACGTTTGCCAAACCCAAAACCTTCCCGCGAAGCGAGGATCACACCTAGCACGGTCCACACTTTAAATTCCAGCCCACAGCCCAAGCAAAGCCGGAGCAATCCCGGCCTCATGCAGCGTCAGAGGGCTGAAGTAGCCAGTAACGGCCTGCGAAGCGGAGAAGCAGCACGAAAGCGTTGAGATGAGGCATGTGCCTGTGGGGTTTTGTTAGAGTTTAGAGTGTGCAGCATTAATCCGGTGGTGTCGGGGCAGGAGATGCTCCTTTGGGGAAGCTGCGAGCTGTGGGGAAAGCGCAGTCCTTGAATCCCCAGGCCTAGGCCTAGGCCGTGAAGCTCTGAAGCCGTTGAGCCGCTGGCACGCCACATCACCCGGAACGCTGCATCGGAAGCTGCCTTGTGAAGGTAGACCTGCGCTTCTTCGTACCTTACAGAGGCTTGTTGGGTTGACACCACGCCACCAGGTCAGCTTCAAGTAAGACATGGACATGTTGAGGTCGTTTTCGTCGGGTCGTGGGACCTAAGGTGTATTCGTGCTCTTGCTTCGGGTTCTTTCGGGGCCGTCACGTCTTGACTGCAAGCTGTTCTTTGCCGCGACAATCTGTAAGCCCACACCTTTAGCAATTTGGTCTAGGTCTCCGTGATTTTTCAACCCACGAAACCCGTTGAAGGGACGTAGCAGGACGATCATGGCAAATAGAATGTACCACTGAAATCACAGCAGTGGGCCCGGCAGGGAGGGTCTGTGCAAGGCGTAGGCGTATGGTAACGTATGTTGTCTACAAGAACCGGCACTTTTACATATCGATGCTCAGAGGGAGCCTGGCGTGAGTTGAGAGATCACGTCGGTTAAGTGGGCCTCATGGCTTGACTTCGGAGATGACATGTCTAACCTCAAACCGATTGCAGTCAGGCTGCTGCCCTCTGTACCTGAACAGGGTGTTGGGCGCGAGAAGGCCATGAACTGGACTTGCACATGACACCACTGCCCAGGTGCCTGCCTACATGCCACTTCACAAAAAAATCGGTCACAGCCACAAGCGAGACTTCGACCAAGCACTCACCAGTGCACTTATACTTCTTTGAGCTGTTGCTCTTGGAACCCCTTCCCGTTGCCAAAGTCTCAAGTGCTGACGAGTCTCATGAGTATCTGCCCAGCATGGTAGAGTGGTTGGGAGTCGCGCTCCTTTTGGCTGACTGTCGGTCTTTCAGGGTCGCAGGCTGTGAATCAGCGACAAAGTCTGTGTTGGACCCGGGCGGCCGAGAAACTGACCGTTTCAGCACTCTCAACCCGGCACCCGAGGCTAGAAAAGGCTCGGGAGCATTTCGCGGAAGTAGGAGGTTTGGCTTGTGACTAGTCCGCTGCCAAATCCGAATGGACTGTGCTGAAGTGGAGAAGTTCCGCGTGGCTTCGTCATTGCAGCTTCTGGCAACCCGCACAGCAGTTTCTCTTTGTGAGCGTAGGGCAGATTTGCCCTTTCGGTACCCTGCGACATACCCAGCAGAGTAACTTGCAGATGACAGGATCCAGGATTGATCGCAAAGGCTTGCAAATGAGCCTCGCGTCTCTTGCTGTACATGGCAGTGGTGTGCCAGAGCTTCTCGGCCTTCTGCAATCGGAGCTGACAGCTCAACGGCTTATAGCAAAAAGGCTTTGGCAGGGGACCGCAAACCGAGAAGCCCCAGGGCCTGTACAGGCTTGCCAAAGGTGCCTGGGTCAGGTCAAGTCTCAAAACCAACATTTCAGGAATTGACTTTCTCCTGCACCCACGTCAAAAACATGAAATCGAACGCAGCCGCCGGAGGAAACTCTGACTGGAGAGAGAGGACAGTGCTTCGTATTCATTCTGTGGCTGTGGCGGTCGAGTGGGAGAGCTTCCGAAGGAGTCTCCGTTGGCCACCAAGACGTTGGCCACCAGCGCACGCAGGGGCGCGAACTGGGAGTTAAACGATTAGACATGGCTTGGGCGTCGTCAAGCCATGTCAAGCCTGTCAGCTTACCAAGCCACTGAATTATGAATGCACTGCAGCACGGCAATGGCATTCCCAGCTGGCAGCCCGAAAGGACATAGACAAACCTTGTCATGCTTTATCCCTACTGGTGTTTGAGCAAACGGTTCAAGAATCGAACGACCCTACAACTTTCGGTGCTGCACATGCGCTTGCACATCTTGTTTTCTGCTTGGCAGAAGATCCACGAGGAACGCTCGACATCAGTCGACTGCCACCTTAGCTGTTCAACCCGTTAGAAGAAGCAGCACGACGAATCTACAAAGATCTGCGGTCCCAGACAACATGTTCCTTCTTCAATTTTTGCATGGGTCGAACCAGCCCCGCCTATGAAGATAATTGTCACACTGGCGAAACATACCAACGGGTTGAGTGCTGACAACACTCAATGTCTTACAGGTCCGAAGATATCTGTGCCTGTGGCAGTTTTCCGTCTTATTCTGCTAAATGCAAACGACAACACACAACAAGAACAACAAGGTGCACTTTGAATCGGCGTTCGTGCTGAAACATGTTTCCGGTGATCAGAGCAGGTTTACCCCTATACACTCGAAATAGAGCCGCACACTCGGAACCAAACCTGACCAAGCCGAGGAAACCAAGGACACGCCAGGAGTGGCTGACTCTACTACTGGTAGCAGAGAAGGCCGCCTTGCCCAAGCCCGTCCCGTAATACATTGTACTTGCGGATCTGTCCGAAACCGAAAGCCGTCGCGTGATTTGCCTCCCACCCTGCCAAAGCCCGTCCGGTACCTTGACGGCCCACCCCGCAGTGCTAGTTAGAGATTTTCAGTCGATCCACAGTCTATGACTCTGCGAACAACATACGACAGCAGCAGAAGCAGCAGTGGCAACAGCAGCAGCGACAACAACGACGACAACGACAACGACAACGGCAACGACAACAACAACAACAACGACAACGACAACGACAACGAAAACCACCACCACCACCACCGCCGCCGCCGCCGCCAACAGCAGCAGCAACAAGAAGAACAAGAACAAAAACAAGAAGACCAACACCAACACCTCCGCGACCGCTGCCCCCCCCCCACCAGCACCACCACCAGCAGCAGCAGCAGCAGCAGCAGCAGCAGCAGCGGCAGCGGCAACGACAACGACAACGACAACAACCACAACCAACAAAACCACAAGAACAAGAATAAGAACAATGAAAATAACAACAGCAATAAGAACACTAACCATAAGAATAACAAGACCAATAACAAAAACAACATCAACAAAGCGACAGCAAGAGCAACAACAACAACAACGACAACAACAACAACAACCACAACTACAAGCATCATAATCACCCTATTAATAACTTGAAAAAGAAGACACAACGACCAAAGGCAACAACAACAACAACAACAGTGATAACACTAGCAAGAACAGCAGTAACAGTACCACCAAGAGCAATAACGAAAATAACAATATCAATGACACTAGCACTAACGGTCATAATCATAGTCATACCAATCACAGACACAGCAGCAGTAATCTGTTCGTATCAGAGGTCTCATGATACCATAGCCACTAATAAGTTGTCAATACCCACGCGGATATTATTGCTGTACTTCCTTCTGCTGTTGCGTGCTGCTTTTGCTTCTTGCCCGAGATTGCTGCATGCATGATGCTTCGAGGTTTGTGCTTGCATCTTGCAGCACAAGGCTTGCGAAGTGCGGCCGACAGGGGATGCCAGTACATCCCCCTTGACGCTCCGACCCTGCATCCCAAGACCGCGCTCATGCCTTCGTACCCAAGCTTCCCATTCCCAACTCCGGCTCCAACACCGGCCCCTTGCTGAGGTAGCTGGCCCCTTCCATGCGAGCGCCCGCAGTCATCGTGGACCACTGGATCTGCCGTGCCTTCGGCGGCTCCGGGCGTTGATTTGAATCCTGTCTCATGGACGTTTAGGGTTCAGGGTTCATGACTAATTGTTAAGGTTCAGTCTGATTGCAGAAGGCATTGCACCAAATGGATGTTCTGCACCCACTTGCAGCAAAACCCATCGTGCGGGTCGAACCGTTCGGGGCCTTGTGCTCTGTCGATTGAGACCGAAAGGTTGCGAATTCTGATGACAACACAGTCTTCGCGAGAACTTCCAAGCAGCATTTGCCGTTGGCAGAATGCAGGCGACTAAAGCTTACGGCCTCGCAGCGTTCCCCGCAGCATGAACCATCAGCCCGTCATCACATCTGCTAACCGAGAGTCTCTGGGGCTGAAGGTATGAGGCACTCCAATGATCCCTCCTCGCGCCGAACGATGACAGGCAATGGCTGTGTGGGCAGCCTGCCACGCATTAGGGCCCTTTGGCAACGCGTATTTTTCGAAACCCTGCAGCGCAGCCTGGACCTCCGCCATGTCTGGCAATTCGGGCCTCAGACAAACCCCCTGCGCTTGATCCGCTGCACTTGACCACCCAACTTCCATGAAACATTTCCGCAAGGTGGTGGCAAACCATTGGAACTTCTGCGGACGGAGAACTGCCCTGGTTCTGACTTCGAAAAGATGCGAACGATACTGAACGCAACACTTCCTGGCAGCTCTCCTTTAAGGTCCGAATTTTCGCATCTTCCAAAGCCGAGGCTGTCGCCACTGGAGCCAAGCTGGCAATTTGATGGAACCTCCAAACCTCTGGCGACTGATGTCTGAGAGTCCGGATTGCAGCTAGGCCTGGCTATTCAAAGGATCAAGAATGCTTCTGTCATATCCCGATACGAGTAGAAGCTGCACCTATGTCTCATGGCATCGCAATTGACCTCACGCCTAAGGCAGGCGGCTTCCGGATACCCCATGTTGATGAGCTGCAGATCAAGAGTGTGTTAAATAGACCGTGGGCAGAGGCCGTCCAGCCGGTGCACTAATTTACACTGCTGCCTCGGGTAGGCATGTTGGGGGTCTCAGATATATGTGCTGTGTATCAACACACAAGTATGTATTCAACAATGCATGCACCACCGTTGTTGCACATGTTTGGCACTGCTGTGTACGGACATTGTACGGCAGCGCCATCCGTCCACACCCGCAATCACATGGTCAGCCTGTAATCTTATGACCAGTGGGTCCTTATGTCAAGACAGACTGTGGTCTGTTGCCATGGCTGATACAATTTTTGTGAGTACGCCTTTCCACCGCACTGGAAACTTTCAGGTTGACACATAACTTCCCACCTTTCGAAGACTGAATACATAATTGATATAGCCTCAGCTTCTTGGAGCGGGACTCTGGCTCCACGATGTCAGCAGGATCTGTGAACACCTCGGGGTTCGGAGATTCGGAGGTGCAACCAGGTCTGGTTCGACTTTAGCGTGCAACACGAATCAGCAGATTATGTAGCATGACAACCTTACGTGGGGCTTCGAATTGAGATGTTCCATGAACTGAAACCTGAAGCTGAACACCCGACTGTCCTAAACGCCTGGCCGCTCAATCCATAGTAATTCTCGTTGTGGCTGCCGAGCTGGCGACAGCATAGCAGCCGAACCCTATTTAAAAACGCCTGTGAAGTACTCGAACATAACAAGCCCACGGTTATGATGACAGCTTTATTCTACTCCGGCTTTCCCAGTCGGAGCTCGCAACTTCGCCCAGGCCTGCCACTTGGCCTCGTCAATGCCTTTAAATGCGGCCCGGGCCTGCCAATCAAGCGCGTCTCAAAAACTGTGGCTGTGATGCAAAAACCGGTTCAAGGTTCGCGTCCTGTCTTGCCTTTTGTGGGTGTCGAGCCTTGAAATTCCAGGAAGCATGGGTCTGCCAATGGACAATCCAGGCATCCAGGACCCGAAACCCATGGTTGCAAACACTCTGCCAAATCGCCAAACCAAAATATCTCGCTCTGGAATCGCCAGAAGATCCCGAAGGTGCAGGCCGCAGGCCTTTTCAATGTTTTCCACATCCTCTGCCATGACGGCCCGGATCAGGACCTTCGACGGATGCTTGATTTAGTCTATTATGTGGGTTCAGGGCATCAATCAAGCGGCGTCGAAACTGCGATAAGGCTGCACGGCATGTTGCGCGCGAGATGAAACTCGATTATCATGTGGCCCCTGTGGGATCGAGCTCTCAATCACTACCACTTAACCCTAACCCAAGCGGAAAGTTGACAATCCCTCTTGCACATCGCAAGTCCCCGCCCCTAGTTGCTGGGTTTGGGATTGCGGTGAGCATCAGTCAGGTTGAGGCGGAGGATTACGAGCACATTGCTGCATTACGACGAATCAGCACGGCCCGGCCGCCTTGAGAACTTGCGAGGGATGCTTTCGCATAATCTCGGCGTAGACCTGCATTGTAACCGTGGCCCCAAACTCTCGAAATGGCGAGAGCCAAAGCTCAAAAGTTCCAGGGCGTCCGGTCTAGGTCTCTAGAGTTCTTCATTCTTGGGTAGGTTCGACCATTGTACCGGGTCGTTGTAAACTCTACATAAAAAAGATAGAGATGTTGGAGACTGCAAGGCGTCGGCCTCGGCATAAAACCATCCGGCTCTAGTCTCGCAGCCTCAAAGCCTTACGCTCGTGTTAAGATGCTTGGAAGAGAAACAAGCGTGTCTGTCAGGTCCACTCTGAATGTTGCCTCGAAAACCGTCCTGATCTAGCACTTTCCTACAGCCCCTGCCTCAGCATCCCGTTCACCGGAGTCGCCCACCAAGATGAACCTTGGCTGAGCCAGCGTCCAACCTCTTCTGGTGTCTGTTCAGCGACTTGGTCGTTCGAGCTTTGGCTTTGGCACATCCCCCCTGCGCTCAAAGACCTGCCTGCTACCGGGAGTGAAACATGGCTGTTACGCTCGAAACGGTTTATCTTGGGATGGTCGCTTACTGCATGCAGATTGGGTTCCGAAGGCTGTGTTGGGTGGGCTTGCAGCTCGTAGCAGGCTTACAGGCTTGCGCGTGCGTGGGCTCTCAAAGCCGCAGGCACTTTCGGGTGTCTGGTGGGGGTGGACAAAAATTGGGATGCAGGTTGGGTGCGGAAAGCCTCGCGGAGTGACACGCTGTCTGTGCAAATTCTGAGAACACGTGCTGAAACTTCTCCAATAGCCCAAGCAGCTTCCTGTTGGGAAATTGGGAGAGCAAGCTCGTCACCTGTCGAGCGAAGAGTTGCGGCGACTTCAGGGTCAAAACTTGCAGTCCAGTCAAGTGGTCATAGCACACAATCACACGCGGAAATCGCCTCTCAAATCTTACTCCCGACCATTAGACGGGAAAGATTTCGGGAATTCCAAGAGCTGAATCCGTGGAGCCCAAGTACAGCTGTCAAAATGGTGGGGGGCTTATTCGAAGCGCCAAGCTCGAGTCCACCCCAAGCCGTTGGAGCCTAAACTCTCCACCCCCCCCCCCCAAAGCCGCAGGGCCTGTAGGGATCAACCACACTCCAACCCCTGTACCCTTGCGCACCTGGCGCAGTTTGAAATTCGCGCGGTCGCGCCCCAGCAGAGGGCAAAGGTGGACCGAAGAAACCGGGAAGCCCTGTGAGGTTCGCAAGCCACTTCAAGGGTCCGAGGGGTTTAAACCGGGCTTTGTCGGACAAAAAACAACTCAGGGCCAAACTTCCCGGTTCAAGGAGGATTTGAGGGCTGCCTTGAACTTGGGCTTCGGCTGTTTCAATCTTTTTCCGCCCAATCAAGGCTTGGGCACCTTGTGCGGCTGCACGGTCGACAGTGTTCTCAAATCCTGAACCCTGAGCCCCTTATCATCCTAACCCCAACCACCCCTCTGATCAAGGAGACTAGGGTATCAGAACCGCTGCACCCTGCAATTCACTCAGAGCCCACTCCCGTAAAGACCTGCTGGCCTTCTTCTGCAAGAAATCGGACAAAGGCCCGTGCAATTCCGGAGGGCCTGGATGCTCACGGTTTCAGGCTTCGGCCCTTACCGAGAAATGGTGAACTCTTCGAAGAAGTCACAGTTGAGCTTCAGAGCCTTAGAGTTAGAGTCCTAGAGCCGAAGCTACGCATGTGAGCTAGAAGGTCTCTCATTCTAGTGCCCCCCAGAAGAGGCGTGGGATATTTTGAGATTGAGATTTGAGGGCTTTGCTTGCAAAGTGTGGAGGTCTCTTGTTCAGGGTCCACAGTCAAGCACACCCTTCGGAAAAGCAAGAATGTGGTGCCATGGTGCACCCTGATGGGGCGGGGTGTCCCTCGACATCATGAGTTCCTGGACGTTCCTTGTGCTTGATAGTTTTGTTTATGTTCGCGTCGCTACAACGAACAAACCTTCAACAACTACGAATAGTCAAGACATCAAGCTTGGCGAATTGCACCAAACAGAAGGCGTTGGTCAAGTTTGCCAAATGCATACTTGGACACTTGCGGCATCTACAAATGGCCAGACTTCCGCAAAGGTCTGTCAAAGTGAAACAGAGCAGCAAACATAACAAACCAGCCCTCAGCAACCAAGACATGTCTGTCCTGTCGAGATAAAGTTGTGAGCTAAAGAGCCTACATGACACCATAATAGCTCTGCTTCGCCTTCGAGACACAGGTAAATACAACGGGCACTTCCAGTGCTTAGGTGAGCGTGAGCGACACGTATGCGCACATACACACACATATATATATATATATACATATATATATACATACATATGCATATATATATATGTATGTATGTCTGTCCGTATGTATATATCTATCTATCTATCTTTCTATCTTTCTTTCTATCTATCTATCTATCTATCTATATATATATAGAGTATATTTTTATATTAATTACATATTTGTATGTATGCATGCATGCATGCGTGCAAGCACGTATGGCAGCCTCTCAGAAGTAATCCTCCAGCTTGATTTCGGATGCTGTGCCCTACTAGACCATGTACTTCTCTCCTGCCATCTTTCGCCGTATGTGTTGGCGTCACTGCTGAGCCGTCCTCAAGCCCTAAATCGAGAACCCACACTCCTCAACCTTACAAACCCGAAATGCAAACCCCAAACTCTAAACCTACAGCCTCGTCCTTAAAGATCGAGGCAGTGAGGGCCAGGCTTTTGGAAACGTAATGAAAGCTGGCCCGCTGCTTCGCCCAGCCTGCCCGGATTCACTTCAGGGTTGTCGGGGCGTTTCGGGGTTTAAGGGTCTCGGGTCTTCCCGCTCAGGGTCTAAACTAGGCTGCCGGTCGGTATTGGTGCGTCTGCGCCGTTTAAAACGATGAGATAAACATGAACGTGCCAATGAGAGGCAAGTACTGCAAGAGCAGGAACAACGCGGATTATAGCTTAAGTTCTAAGCTTTGTAGTGGTGGTGATTTCGGGCATTCTGTTCTGGGTGTCGGTTTCCATTGATAGACGGAAGCTTTGAGCCTGCCTGCTCGCGCCGAACTGAACTCAGTGTTTATGCTGTAGAGGGCAGTCAACATGCAGTGGGAGGTCGGCTTTGAGATGTACCTTCTCAGTTGAAGCAGTGAGCATCTTCCATGCGTGGAAGAGAAAGCATCCACAGCCACAAGACTGCAGCAAAGGGGAGCCGTAAAGTCGAGGCCAACAGCCTCCCAACTCCCAGTTCGACTGCGGGGGGGGGGGGTGCGATGTTCGCTCTTTGTCTTACTATACTATCTAAGGCCCTTTTCTATGCAGTTGCGGCGGCTACGTCGCACAAAGCGTGCAAACCTGCACGCACATCAGGGCCCGACCGTGGCAGAGTTGAGGGCCTATGGCTTAGGGATCCAGTCCATTCCCTGCGCCGGATGCCTTGGTACAGGGCTGCCATTCCTGGCCTCAGTCTGGTGGACGTGCATGAAGACACGAGACATTAAAGACTTCGGAACTGATTTACCAAGCTTAAACAGTCAGACAAAAGTAGACAAGCAGATTCAACACCTTTCCACATCTGCACGTATCAGCCTGTTTTTCTATCGATGCCTTTTCGTAAATGGAGTACTTGCTTGGTGACCTGATGTGTCTGTGTTTACATATGTATATACCACCCGTACATGCGACATGGATACATACATCACGGGTGATGGTAGACAGGGACATAGAAGGGAACGGCACGTGCGAAGATTGATGTCGCAAGGAGCATGCTACAAGCAAAGGACCGCAAGGTTATGAGTAGGCCCATCTACATGCATGCATACAAACAAACAAACATACATATACATACATATACATACATATACGTAGACATACATAAACATACATAGATACATACATACCTACATACCTACATACCTACATACCTACATACATACATACATACATACATTGACATACATTGACGTACATTAACATACATACCTACATACATATATACATACATACAGATGTATCTCCCTGCATGCAAACACATACACATGCATGCATGATACGATTGAAGAAGTAAGTGCAATAAATGAGTAGACAAGGCTTTGGGGTGCACATACACTCAAACAGCGAACCCTTGGATAAAACCCACGGTTTCGGTGAAGTGGGTTCATGTGATCGAGCAGCCCTCAACAAGCAAAGAGTTATATAGCCAAGCTGAATTCCTGAGCACCGGAGTCTGTGAATAGAAGGCCCTGAGCGTAAGGAGCCTTAACCAGCAATGGGGTCTCCGGCTCCTCGAACCCCAGGTGTCATAAGAATGAGGTTTGAGATTCCAGTATTGGGGGCGTGTCTACTACACCACCTACTGACCCACTGTCGACCCTCCTGCGCCAAGCTCAATGAGGAAGATCCAAGTCGTGGGCACGGCATCAAATGTCTTCAGGAATGTGTTTTGCAGCACAGCCTTCCAGAAGAGAGGGTCTTGTGCAAGGCATGGAGGCAAACTGTGACTGTCTTGCTACCTGAGAGCCAATGCCTGCTTAACACGTCCGTTTGCTCCGTTGAGAGCACTGCTTTCGGGTGTAGGCTTTTGGTTGAGGAAATCGAACTACAGTCAAGCTTTGGCGTCCTGAGGATTTGAGAAATGCTGCTGTGAATGGACATCCAGCATCACTGCCCTTTTCCCTGCCATGTATACAGCAATTCTCTCAGTTCTCGAAATACTTTCCCTGTTTTCTGACGTAGGCAGCGATTCCCGCATCATTGCCCGAGTGAGTGAATCCCAACTCCTGTTTCTCTGCACCTTGATGCCGTAGAACACCTCAGTGACCTGTGCAGGCCATGCCATCTGCCCATGCCCGCGAAAGTTTTCTTGTCATGCAGTGTGAACTTCTGGCGTAATCATGAACATGCTATTTTTGTGTTGTCGAAATACTCGTCGGATTGGGAGCGTGTTGTTGTGACGCGTGCTGTTTCATTATGCTGCCCAGATTCTCCGGCACGCATGTGTTGCATCATCAACATGCTTCCATACTTTTCTATCCTGTGACAGGGCGGGTTCACTTCAAGTCTCTCATCAGCGAGTGCATATGAAAGGCTAGAACAATGCATTTCCCTTCAAAATGCTTATGCTCTGCACGGATGTTTGATGGCTGCACCCGGCAGCTAGCGTCGATCAGGCTGTCGACTACAAGTCTTTCGGTCTCGTGCCCGACACTTTGAATGCTGCAAGAAGTCCGTCCGTTTATGCCAAACAGGATGCAAGCTGCATCGGCCGTACAAAACAGCAATAGCAACTTCAGCCTTCACGGTGTCGTCGATGTCAGAAATGACGCCGAAGCCGTCCGGACCTGGAAGATGACGACGATACTGCATGTCGATCGAGCACTGCCTTTGCTCGGCTTACCGAGTCGCTAGATTCGATTCTGTCGGAGTCCGAAGCACCCACATCCAAACTTGAACTCAAACACCGCACATCTTTGCAGCGAACGTCTGGATCCGTGCTGCTTGCAGTGATTGCATAGCCATGCAAGAGTGCATGCATGCCCACCTGCCTGCCTGGCTGGCTAGCTGTGTCCGTACGTATGTATGCATGTATGCACCCGACTAGCTAAGGGGCCTTCGAGAACCGAAATCTCTAAACTCTAAACATTACTAAATCACCGAAACCTTAATCCGTACAGTAGCCCCAACAGGCTTTAAGCCAAAATCCTGAAGCCAAAAACCGAGAACGCCACTCAGAAGCTCTGCGACCTCGGCCCCCAAGACATTATCACTGGAGGTTCGGCTTCGGATTTCGGTCTAGGGTATGACGGGCTCAGTGGATTAGGGGCTGGACATTTAAGGGAGTGGGATTCAGCCCTTAACGATGTCAGCTCACGGGTTTGAGGCTTACTTTGTTACAAGAAAAACTTTTGAGCTCGAGGGAAAGCGTTTACAGTGAAAGCCCAAGTGCTTGGCTTCAGCGATTTTATGCTGCAAGGACAAGAGATTGGATTGAGGTTCCAAAGGACTTATTCTTTGGCCGACCTACACACGAACACAGGTGTTGCCACATCCGGGCGAGGAGGTTCCCGGAGACCTGAACTAGAAAGATCCTGCCTGAAAGCAGCAGGGATTGTGAAAAGGCAAAGCCTCCGAATACTTGAGCCACCCGCTCCTGACTAGGATGACAGAGTAAGGGCCACACTGCTTGCACTGGTGCTGCAGACGGCCTTGACCAGGAGAAAGGTGTGAGAAGGTGGGTGTGTGCGCTCGTGCCACTGGTCATACCTTGTCATGGCTTTAAGCGCAGCATCTCAACAGGTTTTGCACTCGCGGGGAAGGTTTTCCTTCGTGAGACGGCGGACCATAAATATGGAGCATCTTCATTGATCTAGCAGCTAGCACAAGCTTAAGCCTCAGATTTCAATGTAATGCTTGATCACCCCAACCTGGACTTGACCTACAGGCATCTCCCTGAAACAGAGAAACCTGGAAACACCGTTGCATCTTGACCAGACCCAACACGTTTCACAGGCCTGCGTTGGGGCGCTGCGGTGCTGTCAACCTGATGGAGTTTAGATCCTTTCTGCGGTCCTTTGTTTTTGCTTCTGCCCGGAAAGCAAAAATGGATCGATGCTTGCCAGCCATGCCAACCCAGCAAGGGCCAGTGGAAGAGTGTTAGCACAGCTCAGTGCACCACGGTGTCACCGGTCTCAGCAAGGCGCACCTGCTGCGAGGGACCCCTCCCACGTACGAATTAGCCCTGGGGATCTACCGGAAAGTCCAGTCGGCAGGCTTTGGGATGAAATACTCCGAACCCTGAACCTCCACGAAGGCATCTCCACACCATGTCCATATAAGATCTCCAAGAAAGCCTGCATTCTTGAGCCGTGAGCCCTCAAAAGGCTGAGGCCAAAAGTGCGAGCCACCTTCGAAACCCAAAATCCGTGCCCCTGGTTCCGCTTGCGAGGGTCGGGTTTCCGGGAGGGGTTCAGGGTCCGGGTGTTGCGGGTTTATCTTTGGGGGAGGGGGGTTCCGGGTGACTAGAGATGAGGAAAGCGCTAGTATGTTTACGGGCCCCCACTCATAAGCTGGTACTCTTTGTAATCTCTGGCTAACAGCCTATATGGCGCTAGCACAATATAGTATGATGAGCCGCGATCGTACGACTCTAGTGCATTCAGAGGCCACTATTGAGCGAGGCAACACAACAACTCTTACGGCCACTAGCCTCGCCCCAGTCTGATTGCTGTGGGCCCTAGTACCATAAGGTCCTAAACCTAAACCTTTTCCTACAAACCAACAAATCCTGAATGCCCGAGCCCTGATTCCCAAACCACAACATCATTCGATTGACCGCGGGCCGTGCCTCTACAGCGACATTGCCTTGCAGTCGATCGATTAGCCTGAGCAATGATGGATGCGATGTGGATACCGCAAGCAGTAGTACCATGACTATTGGGCTGTAATCAACAACAGCACGAATGCCACAAACAATAACGAAGTGATGCTTATGCTAGCAAGAGAATCGTAACATTATCGTGGTGGTTTGAACCTACAGGCTCTCATCTGGTTCTCGCACATCTGTGGTGTTTAGATGCACTTCGATGTTCAAGCTAGCAAAGCTGGCCAGGCTGGGTATGGGAGGCTGATGCGAGGAAGACCTGAGCGACTGGAAAACGGACTTTTCTCCGAAGGGTTAAGACTAGAATAGAATAAGAGTTTGGGAGTCGTGGAGAGCTGAGGGGTTGGAAAGGGGAGGCGAAACGGATAGACTTGACAAGTAGCTGCAATATTAGCGTGAGTTGCAGATTTACCGTGGCTTCAAGACGGCGCTGTCCTCACTTTTTAAACTGGTAAGCAACTTCCAGAGTCAAACTTTGGATTCGGTGGTGAATGCGCCGGATCAGTTCGGCACCCGGAGAGCCGCAAAACAAGATACCTTGGGCTGAAATTCCTGAGACATGAACCACATCGACTGGGGCTTTGCCAAGGGCCCGACTGAATGTCGTCATCCGAGAATCTGACATTAGCCTGGTGCAGCATGGCCCGAACTGCTCTGGATGATGGTTTACGATGTTCTCCCTAAATCCCGGATTGGGAGTCGAGCTCCTTGTGACATCTTTGGCCAAGCACAGTTTGAAAGCAAACTTAGGTGCCTCGACCACGCCATGTGCATCCGTTGGAGGAAGCCGCTGCCACCCTGGCATCTGGGTTTCTTTCAAGTGAGGGTGTCATGCTGCAACACTTGCGGGGTGTTGGACTGAGTGTGCTTATCGAGCAAAGATGGCACTTGTGCCCCTTTGGGCCTGAATCGTCCACCCGGGGACCGCCGATGCCTCGCGGTGTAAGGACGGAAATCACAATCCCGAAACCCTTCTCCGACGGATCTGCATTTGATGATTTTGGTTTAGGCAGAGTCTGGGAAAGAAGACGCCACAGCGAACTCAAACCACATCAAGCAACCGATCTTAGCAGTTTTCCACCTGCTTCTGGCACCTAGTTGGGTACCAGCAGCATTTGTCTGAGCATCGGATCTCTTGCACTTCGAGTCTCTGGCAAACAGGGTGCAGCTCCTACCCTGCAAGGTGCGATCTGCAGGTGTGGGTGTTTTGTCATGGAAGCATGACGGTCTTGAGCGGCAGACGCACTTCCAACAATTGAAGGGTGCGGTCGTGCAGCAGCGGCAACCTCGTGGGAGCATCTGCCAACTGCGCGCCTTACCAGTGTAGGCGGTATAGCCGATACTCGATTAACGGCCCCAAAATTGGACCCGCTGTCATCACGTGCTTCTGGGAGGCACCGGCGACTTTAAACTCATTTGCCTTCAGGGATTCTCTATATTCCTTGAGCGCCATTTGCCTTTTGTCAGTATCAAGCTTGAACGCCGAACGTTTGCCTCAAACCCGGGCATCCCTAATGACCAGCTGGGCAGCTGGAGACTGCGGAAGATGAGACGCGCGCGCTCCTGCCATGAAGCTTGGACCGGAGGTGCTCTTCATTGCTTTTCATTTGCTGTTTAGATCCACCATACGATTTGTTATGCTCGAAGCCCTGAAGCGGCCTCATATCTTTCCGTTGCCCCATCGTCGAAGTCGCTCTCGGACGCGCCGTCCAGCGTGCGGTAGAGCAGCTGACGACCTTGTATCAGCACGTGTTGTGAAAACTTGGCAGATGGTGGGACGGATGGGCATTGAGGATTTGGAAGCATGTGCTACTAAAAGGATTCGGGATCACTCGAACATCTTCCCAATCAAAAAAGTACGCTTCTCGCCCCTAAACCCCTAAATACAGAAATGCTCTCCTCAAACACGCCTCCAAACCGTGGTCAAATTTATTCAGGCCAGCAGTGTGCGCCACCCTCCAAGCTCGATAATGTCCTCAGCGTGCAATCCCTCTCAGCGAGCCACAAAGGCCTAGTAGCAGAGCCTTGGACGAAGTGGATTCTGCAAGGGTTTCTGGCGTGTAGGGTATCTTTGCGGGTCTATGCTCAGAGATGAAACACTCTTAGGTTCAAGCCAGGTCTTTAAAACTCTCTGAGTAACATGAACCGGCGGCTGCACGGTTTGCGTTTGGGTGCTCCTGGGCCTTCACCGAACAGGAGTCTTCGACATGCCAAAGTGGTGCGTCAGTACGGCTCCCCGTGGAATTCTTCTTTAAGCTCGAAAACACAAAACCAAGCAACTCGAAGGCCATATCGGCCAGCTCACAAGACTGCACTTGACTCAATTCGTAGTGTCTCGCCATTTATTGCTGTGATGCCAGAGACATTGAAAGAAAGCACAAAATGCCGGGCGCCGATGTCATCAATTTGGCAGCAAGTTCAATTCAAGCAACGCTTCCGGTAGAAATTTTGGAATCCTTGAAGCCTCCATCCCATCTTCGGCTCACTGAACGACCAACCCTTCTCCCGAAGCGATGGGTGGCTGGCATAGCGGCCCTCGTTGCGGCGGAAGAGCTGTGCCTGGAGCACCCGGGGCTTGTCCCAGCTCACGGGCAAATTTCACAGCCACCCGGGCCCCAACATTCTCAATCAACATACATACACACATACATGCATGCATACTATGCATGCATACATACATGACATACATATGTACATAGGTATATCGTATGTCCGTGTGGGTATGTGTATGTATGTGTATGTACGTGTGCAGCATGTGCATGCACATGCGTAATCTCTGTGTTTGTACGTATTCATGGTGTCTCGAAGGGAGGTTCCAGGGTCATTCTACTCGACGACTTTAGGGCCTCCGGGAGGTCGCTGCAAAAAAGCTGAGGCGTCGGAAACCCCGAAGACCAGTCAGCCTCCAGGGGAAGAATCCAATCCTTGCCCTGCTGCCTCGCAAGGGCGCACTGCCAAAAATGCCAGGAGGTTCGGTTGAACTTTTCAGTTCAGTCGTGGATTTGGGGTTTCGGAGTCCGTCACTGTGCGGTATCCAAAGGCCCTGGAGCAAAGATGAGTCGAAGAGGCCACAAATGGGATCAGTCCCTGCAAGCCCAGTGCATAGGTCTTTTGCGGAAATGCTGCAATAGTCTGCTAAAACGTCTGCGCTCAAAAATGTTGGGCAGGTTGCCCGTCCTTGCACTTCCGCATCGCAGAGCGATGCCATGACCTCGGCATAGTGCGGTGAGTGATGCTGCCATTGTCCCCAAGCAGTGCCAACACGAAGGCACGCTAGCATTGGCACGGGGGGGCATATTCAGCGTTCCATGTGGGAAATCCCCGCAGCTTATCGTGTTCCAGGATCCAACGCAACGTGCCTCCTAGCTGTTGAGGCTAAGCGCGAAACTGCACGAATTTCGGGCCTTGGCCTTGCACGCTATACGTCTGGTGCTGATGCGAAAAACTGCTTCTGGAGTCCAGTGCCAGACGGCAGGCAGGTCAAGGGCATAGAGTTTGTGTTTGGAACATTTTCCCCAGCTGCTCAGCTGCCCTTGCTCGTGAGACCTGTGGTCCATCGGGCATTGGGCTTCCACGCAGGCATCGTCAGAATGTCCGGCGTTTGCAGCAGCTTTACTTCCAGGCATCTGCTGAGAGCTCTGCTGGAGTCTGCCACAGGTGCGGCCGCTGCTGCCGCCTGGAGCATATGACATCCTTGATCGTTTCGAGAGACAGAAGCAATGCCAATGTCGGGAAGTTTGGCTTCCGAGCCGGCCTCCACCTCCTCGACACTAAGCTGCCCATCAAAGGCGGCCCACAGCTTTCCTACCTGCAAGGCTTGCAAGGGCTACAAAGAACTGCTGTGCTGTCGACGATCTGACGAAACGCTCCCCATTGCATGAACCTTCGGTGTCACCACCTCCAGTCGCCAATGCCTCTTGAAACCCCATAAGGCTCAGCTTTGATCATGATTCGTCAGGAGAACACTGATCTGCCTGCACTTCCGTCAGTCGGGAGCGAAGAAAATGCGACTGCTGTGATCAAACTCGGGTCAGCAAGGCCCACAATGACAGGCTTGCTGCGAAGGGTTTCCCCAGACATACACACCATTAGCCCGAAAGGACCGACGATTTCCCAGCTGAACTCCAAACCCCAACGCTTCGGTCCGCGCCGTGCCTCCCGCAGCAGCGTGGTCGCTTGGGTGTTGAGGCTCCCAGTTCCGCTTTCCCACATTTTCTGCACAGGCGAGGACGGGCACGTGACACACGTAACTTGTCAAGGGCATCCGGAGCCAAGGCAACCTCTGCGTGATGCATCTTGAAGATCAGTTGTAGCATGATGCCATTCGCGGCCGGCTAGCACTCGGAACAGCCAAAGGGCCAAAGGCTCGGAAGTACTACTGACGCATACGATAGTCCGCGCCGCACTCCACCCGCGGACGGCCCTGGCCCTGGCCTGCGCAGTTGCGTTCAGCTCTTGCAGCCAGCCTGCGCGACCCTCCTCCTTCGCAGAGAGGAGAGGACCAGTCTTATCAGATCCGCAAGTCTATAGCAAAGACTCCCAATTATTCTGACAGCAATACGAACAGAACTCCGGTGACATATGGAGGTCACATGCCTTACCTCCGTTACCTTTCTTCTGGTTCGTACGTCGTACACATTTAGATGCAAACCGGCTGAAAGCTTGATACCTCAAAGATGGCGCTTTGGACGTCTGGAGTCGTGGCTTTGCGAGATGAACTGAGATGATGAGTGTTTGGCTTGGGCACACTGAGGGAAGAGGAAACTGCACTAGTAATAATTCAGGATTCGTTGCCCTGAGTCGAGCAAAAGAATCGGCACCTCAGCAACTCCCAAGCAGCCGCCGAAAAGAACCCTTCAAAAACAACCAGTAGCCTCGCTGGGCAACTGTTGATTTGCTGCACCCATCGCAGATGCCTTTTGCAAACGACACTTTCAGCGGGAGCTAGGAGCTAGGGCGGGGGCTGTAGAGCATTCAGGATTTGGCGTCCTAGACTGCACGGCTCCAAGCAATGGCCCATAATACCGTGAGCCCTCAGGGAGCCCGGCCACCAGCAGTGACGTGGCAACCATTGCAGGGAGGGCCTTGCTCGGTGTCAACACCCATCAGGATTGTAGCTTCCAGACTTCTTCCGGGATCTGTTGGCCATTCAGGTCAGGAAAGGGTCCAACACATGCAGCTGTGGCATCTTTATTAACTCCACAGCCCGTATTGAAAACCTGTGGCGTCGTTGAGTCACTGCATCCTTGCCTTGCGGACTCTTATCTCACCGGTGCTTTGCCGTTATGGTCATCGGTCTTCCGGGCGTTTGCGGGAAAGGGCTCCTTAGATTCTCAAGCAGCAACCCGAGTCTGACGCGTATCCAAATTGTGTCGCGAGTGCAGAATCCCAACGCCTTGAACCGTTGTCTCCGTACCACTTAACCTGCCCCCACCCTGACCCCAGCACCTCCTGCATGCTCGTGAGAGAAGCTGTAGTTAGCATGTCCTGCTGAATCTCCGTGCGAGCTTCAATCTGACGGCGAGGCCAGAACATGCGGGTGAAAGGACTTTACACTGGTCTACACCCGCTCCACGGCTTGAGGCCCACCGAAACTACATCCAAAGGGCTCCAAGATCCACCGACGGGGTGGATGTGCTAATCACGATACTGGTGCCTGAGGACAGGAACATGAAGATCACAGACATACTGTAGCCGCCACACGATGTCACACATTCTGGTTGTCGTGGCAACAGCAGAAGCGATGATGATCCTGCATCCTGCATAATCAATCCCACGCGGCTGAATGTTTAAATCCGCCGTCCTCCGTGACTGTGGCCATTTTCGCCAATTTGAAGAGCGGTGCCTGGAAAAACCACGTGCAGAAGAGCTGTCAAGGTTTCGTACGCCGTAGATTCACAACATGAACTCGAACAGTCCTACTGAACCCTCAAGCCTGACATTGGGTGAGCTGTTCTCCGTGCCAGCTTATCAAGTGCTCGTGACAGTTTCATCACCGGAAACTTCCAGAGCCCCAACAATGCCGACCCTCTGCAAAAACTACAGGAGTGGATCACGAGGTTTCAGTCACAACCAGTCCGCCGAAGTCTTGACCCACGCAGCTTGTGCAGCCAGCGCCTCGGCCCCGATACCCGCCGCCAACGTGAGCATCGCACCCGCTGCGGCCAAATCTGCCCCAGTGGGATGGGGCTTTGGGCGGAGGGTGTCGGTATGGAGGTGAAGTGGTGTCTCCGGAGTTGGATCATGTGGAAGCCAAAGACTAGGACTCCTCCAAGCAAAGATCTGCATCCGTCCTCTTCGACTCCCGTCACCAATTTCGAAAACATGCAGCATGACTCATGACCTCGATGTTCTCTCTGTCCTGAACCCTGAATTGCCCCGCCTCGTGATTTGGATGCAGATACGTTTGCAGCGTCCAGGGTCTGAGCCTGCGCAGCTTATGCGAAAAAGTAAGGCTTTGCGCCCAATGCTGGACTCGGCTGCGGTCGCCTTCGGCGAGTGTTGCCTGTGTGTGTTGCGAGTGTGAGCTATCAGCCTTGGCTTCTGAATCGTCTCGGTAGCTTCTACGGCTTTAGCTTTGCTGGGACGCAGTTTTGCACTCCCAGGCTGCCACAAATAGATGCAAAATGACAGCCAACACTCACTCAACACTATAGTCAACACTACCAAAACCCAAGGAAAGCCCACAATTCAGTCGCTTTGAGAAACAACGTAAGCGTTCACTGTCATTTTGCATGTATCTGTTCGTTTTACAAGAAAGATGAAGGCTTGCTTGCTTCCCAGTGTCCAAAACGTTGACAGTGCTGGCTGTAGTGTTGACTGTAGATGGAGTCAGATGGTGTGAAATGCTGTGTTGCATGTCCTGAATCCACACACCCTAAAAAAGGGTGAATACGTATGGTCAGTTTCCAGTCACTGGACATGACATTGGTAGGCGAGTAAGAAAGGAAAAACACTTCCGGGCTGGGTACAGAAATGATACCGAAAGCGCGCGCGCTCTCTCTCTCTCTCTCTCTCTTTCTCTCGCTCTCTGCGGTTTGTGTGGCATCGGTCGGCTCACGTTCTCGCTCTCTCTCTTGCTTGCTTGCTTGCTTGCTTGCTCGCTTGCTAGGGGTATGGGCTTCCTAAGAAGCCCTGGCCCGGAGGCCGACCCCCTCGGCGCGCGAATGTCTGTCGGCTTGGCACCCTCAGGGGTTGAGTGTATGCCATGTTCCCCTGAGTCCGCCTTTGCTGTAACCCCCCGAACAAACACCCCTGCTAAGGCCATCACCGATATAAGAGAGACCTGAGGCATGACTCAGGTCGTCCATGGGCACTCCAACAGTCGGCTTGGGCAGAGGAGCAGCACAGGCTTGCAACAAACACACACCTCCCACAATCGCACTAGCAAAGCAACCCGCTGTCCTGCTCTGTCTCCCTGTGTTTATGGGGCTGCGCTTCCCCTTGTATCGGGCGTGCGCCAACTTTTCATGGCCCATCCCTTCTGTAAGGTTGCGGGAGCTCCACTCCCCAACTTTGATGCAACACAAGTGCAGTACCCCCACCTAACCTGCCTCCCCACCTGATCCCGAACGGAAGCCTGGCGCAACACCGCCTGCACCTTTCCACCCCCAACCGTGAACCTGACACACTGTTACTTGCGGCTGCGCCTCGGCAGTTCCTAAGGCTGCGACCAGCAAGGCGGCTTTGACAAATGCAAACAAGCTGACTACAACAACGGTGTGCATGACTACTGCCCAGGCCGCTCCACAAGACCTGTCAAGACTGTGCCCCAGCTCCCCGGTCCCCCCGAGCACACAGCACTACAAGGAAAGTACCATACCTCGAAGTTCAAAGCGACCGGCAAGGCTAGGGCTTGTAAAGGACCGGCGCCTTCCGCGTGGCTCATTTGCGTGCAGCCCTCAACTCTCGGTCCGGTGGATCGTGTAAAGGGCGTGGTCGAGCTCGCCGCACCGCTGTCTCCGTCGGGCATGGTGGCCGTGGTGTCTTCTTCGGTTGTATCCATCCCCGTTTCACGGTCTCCCCCTCCATCCGCGCCATCCCCAGCGTCCGGGTCTGGTTGGGCAGCGACTTCGTTGGCTCCAGGGTTATTCTCCCCGGTTTCTTCATCACTGCTAAGGAGCTGCACCTGTGCTCCCCAATGGGCTCGGATCCACTCTCTCTCTCTCCCCCTCCCTCTCTATACGGGCTTTGTGGGGTCATGCCACCTCCCTCCCTCCCTCCCGCTCCCTCCCCCGCTTCCTCCCTCGCGCTCCCTGTCTCTCGTTGTCTCTCCCTGTCTCTTTCTGTCTCTCCCTGTCTCTCTCGGTCTCTCTCTTGCTTGCTTGCTAGCTTGCTTGCTTGGGGTTTAGGGGCTGCGAACAACCCCGTGGCCCGAAGGCCTACCCCGTCGCGGCGAGCGTCTGTTCGTCTCACTCTCTCTCTCTCTCTCTCTCTCTCTCTCTCTCCCCGGGGCATGGGGGTCGGTCAAGACCCCGGGCGTCAAGCCCACCCGCAAGTATTTTACGGGGAAAGGGGTGTGAGGAGCGAGCATAAATCAGTAGAAGGCCAAAGCTATAAAGTCTACGATAACGGTAGTATGCTCTGCAGGACACATGCAGCAATTACATTGTGTTCCCCTTTGCAGAAGATTAGATAAGCAAGTAGATTGTCATAAGGATTGTGCCGAATCGGGGAGGACACAATGCTTTTGCTTTGGTGGAATGTTTTCCAAATTATTGAATGCCATGTCTGGAGATTCCCTTGTTTGAAGATGCCCTAACACTAGCAAAAAAAGGAAGCAACAATTCCCTGGCATTCATCTTTCCAAGGACACTACAGTGGAGTCACTCGTCACTGGCCTAATGGTTTTTTCCCCCCTGCTTTGTCTCTCTGTCTCTCCCTTCTTCCTTCAGGTCAAAGGGGCTTGTCAGGCCCCCCGGCCCATAGGGCCCCCCCACTTTTCGTAGGGCTTTCGGGGGAAGCAGTACACGTACCAGAAGTTGCAACT